GGTGAGTTCAGAAAATCTTTGCTAAATCAAGGGATATTTGACCACTCTGGCTGCCATGGGTTTATAGTTATGCTAATGTATTATCTATAGAATGAATACAAAAACTCGAGAAGAAGAGAGCGCAACCACTACAAAAATGAGTGACATGGTTCTGAAGCGTATGCTGAACCGTCATAATGTCCCATTGCGCGTCAGCCTGTCGTCGAACGTGCTAAAAATGCTACGTTAGCCCTGAAGCAACAGTCCAAACAGGGTTTCAACCATTCGATCCTAAGGGTGGAAACATGCACTAGCCCTAGTCAAGTACATAGGAAATGTCACTGATTTGAAAACTTACCTTTGAAAGGCGTTGGAAGGGGGTCTAACGCCGTCGAAGTGGGCGGATCCACCGAGCCTCGGTACGGCCGCCCACTTCTGCGTGAAGAGTGCGTGATTGGCTGCGCAGACATTTGCGGTCGTTTCGGGACCACCGGGACTATTTGAGGTCGATCCTTTGAAGCAATCGATGTGGTGATGCCGACTACGCTGGATTTCTACGTTTTTTCCTTCTACCTTCTACCTTCAAAACATAAAACGATTTCATTATTGCGCCCCAATTGCAATAGCTGGCTACTTGCCAGCAATTGCAATTGGGGCGCATTTACTGCGGGCATGTTCAGACAACTCGTCCAACAAGCGTCTTCCTCCATTGCTAAGTGGCAGAGGGGGAGTCCCTGTCTAAGTCCCTGTTCGACGTTTTTTTTACTTTTTCTTTCATTATTGGTCAACTTTTCACCTACAACTTCATTATCGGTGGTTTTTGCCCGCGAATTCGTTCTTGGATTGTTGCTTTAAGGTCTGATCACAGTAATGTAACCTCGCCACTCTAGACGTTTGTCAAACTTCACATTACAGTGGGCAATCGCGGACTTAAAGGCACGGGCCAGGCTGAAGTCGAGTAGTTAATATGTTCAAAAGTAAGATAGGAATTAGATGACTAACACTAGTGTGGAAAAAAGCAAAAAGCGTCATAGAACACATTGAAAATTTTCCCAGAGAGACCGGCGTGGTTTCTTGACTGACGGAGAGAAACACTGCGAGGAGGTAGAGAAATGAAAGATCGCTTGGACTCCGTCCACCTTGCCGTCCCACACGGCCGTCGTACAGTCAGCACAGCGCCTTCTCACGTATTACGAAGCCATACACCCTGAAGATTCCATTCCATAGAAAACATTGTCCTACAAACCCATCCTTTCCACGCAAAGAGCCGCATGAACCTCCATGCACCTTACCAATGATCGTCCACTCTTCGAAAACCCCGTGGGAAGCAGTGGCAAGCATAACGTTGACCCTGCTGGGAAACCGAAACAAAATTGAAGGACCTCGCGCTAGAAATATACATACTTACCTGCCCTGACTAGCAGACTTCCATTTCGATGCATATTGAAGAGCTGAGAATATAACATACACCATTGTCTAGACATACCCAGAAACAAGGATGACACGTAGAATCCTCCAGAAAACCAAGTCTAAAAAAATATCTATCCCACATCGCTTATCTCGCTCACCTATTACGTGGCACGGCTTCTGACGTGGGTGGAATCGATTCCGTAATCGATTGCAGGTAGACACCCATACTGAGAAGGGTTGTGATTATCATGTTGATTTTTTCACCAGTTTCCGGTGGCATCAAAAACCCGAGCACGGCCATTGATGAGATCAGAACACAAGGAATAATCTGAAAACTGCTTCAGATTAGAAGCGCTACCTGTCCGAAGTAAATAAATAAACAACAAAAAAGAAAATCAACAACAGTCATGAGTCAATAAAGGAAGGAAGAAATCTTGTTGTTTTTGTTGATTAACTGCTGTTTTTTGCCGCAGTTCGCCTTGCAAATATTTCCCAAGAATGCTTGGTTGTGAACAATTTCTTTTGATTCGTGTGGCCATACGGCCTTGTCATTGGACTATCTAACGCTGTTTGTCTATAAATATGTATCAGTTCTCTCACCCTTGACGTCGCCGCCAATTTTACAAAAAGGGCGGGGGGGGTCTTTCAGGACATGGAGCGCTTTTTTGAAATGGTTTCCTGCATGTTATAGGGCTTTATGCGAGGAACACAGAACCATGACCCATTTTCCTAAACGCCTCCAGGAGTGACAAAAAAGTGGCGAAGAAATGGTCCAGAGTTCGATCCCGGTGATGGCAATTTTTTGCAACATAGTTTGTTGCCTCCAGATTGCCGCCTAAAATGACTCGTGGTCGAGTATAAGATTTCATGGTCGTGTTTTGGCAGCGGAATTTGGAGCGCCACATAAAATTAGCAAAATTATCATCCACGAAGAGAAGGATCGAACATCTTGACCATTTCTTCTCACGCTGTTTGACTCCTGGAGGCGTATCGGAAAAAAGGACCATGGATTATGCTCCTCACATGAGTCTTTATAACATGCAGAAAACCAATTCGGAAAAGTGCTCCACGACCCTGAAATACCCCTTGTTACCACCCGTTCAGGGTCGAGTTATTGTTAACCGTGACCCCTGAAACGAGCCGGGTTGCCAATCAGACATAACGTCGTCACCCTATTTACCTTTTCTCCGTTGTTTTGAGCCATTTACCCCTCATTTCTCGCCATCGTTGTTTACTGTGACATTTTTTAACATTTGGAGTAAAATAATGTTATCACGGCATTAATCCGAAAACTTCTTTTAATAAACCAATTTCTAGTGTGATTGTGATATTATTGATTAGCGCAATCCAAGAAAAAATACAGAACTCCTGGTCCTAGCTAAACAAGCCGGAAGGGTCTTAACAGCTTTATCACTCTTTATCACTTTATCACTGTTTGACAAAGTCCAACGAGGGTGGGGGGGTCGTATTTGGGGTGGAAAAAAGGGGGGTCGTATTTCGCGAGGTAGCGTTAATGTTACAGTAAGGGAAGTGATGATGCAGTTGGTTGGCGCGCTAAAATTTTGCCGTTTCAGGTACCTTCCTCTAGAAAATGTTGTGGTGGAAATGAGGGAAAATGAAGGTAAGTTTGGAAATTGTACGTTTTTGTGGGTAGGTATATACCCCCGCCCCTCCCCCCCCCTTCCCTCCCCCTCCTAACCCCCCTCCCTCCTCCCCCGCTCGACGGTAATTTTGGAGGAAAAAAGTGGGCGGAGTTTGGGCTGTGTCGACTGGTCTCAGAATCGAATACTATAGAATGAGCCCCATGATGGCGATGACAGGCGAGGGTGGTGAAGGGTTGACCCTGAGGGGGGTCGTATCGAGGCCCTAGAAGGGGAGGGGGTCGTAAAATTTCGAAATCGGTCCAACGTTCAGGTAAAAAAATCTTTTTTGTTGATTATGACTGAAGTTGCTCTCGAAAATAAATAAATATAAAAATAAATATAAAACCAAATAATAGTCAACTTCAAAATTGCAACGTACGTGATTGAAAATGTAGAAAAGCGGCCTTCGATGCATTTTGATCCGGACCACGATTGTTGGCCATTTTGATAAGGGGTTCGATGGAAAGCTCACAACCTGCAAAATTGGTGTACGAAATCGATAGTCACATCCAGAAGAGCAAAGGGACTCCAAACCTCTTTGATCGCAATCATATCCAGAAGGTCGAACTCGCTGTTGTTCATGTAACTGCTCAAATCGCCTTTGTCGGTGTTGAGTCCCAGATCGATTTCTGAAGCGTCATGGGACCACGAGGCAAACTTCAAATCGCACTTCCTGCAAACGTCCATTTTATCCCTCCGTATGCAAATTCGGACAAAAACGGCTCCCTAGATGTGCTGCGTCAATTCGAATCTAGCTCGTGTCTCGTGGACTTTCAAATTCTCCTTCAAAGACTTTTTGCCACCAAATTCCCGCGAGGATATTTCAAGCTTGGAGTTCACGCCAAGTGTGTGACTTCTTCTTGACAAAAAGCATGCATTGTATGGTCTTGATGTGCAGACCCCTTATAAGCTGTTACACTAAGCCTAAGAAGCTCGTAATTGGATTCTGATAGCTTTGTCTCCTCGAGGAGGTTTGAAACACCCGACCAATCTTGAAGGATCAAATTGCCGCTTCGAAAAAGATGTGTTCCAGGCTACAAGGTACAAGAGTCAGGCGCACACTTAATTACCGGCAACTGTCCTGTACTTACTGAAAATCAAAGAATTGACGCAATAGACCTTGGATGAAAAATAGCAAGGTAAACGTCTTCGACACTTAACGCGAACCCTTTAGGGAAACGTGAGTGTGTACCTCGCACTCGTACATCATTGACAATTTCCAATGGCCTGATTTGCTTGGTCCTAGAGGCTGTGAAGCCTAAGATGTGTGAGACAAGTTATTTATCCTCCCAAACAAGTCTGCAAGCGATTAGTCTATTCCCCGAAGGTGTTGAGTCACCGTGGATGTGATGGTCTGGAAGCGTAAAAATCCAGATTTGGGCCCCAAACCGAACGACGTGCTACACCACCTCGATTGAATCGCCTGCCTCACAAATAGGTCAGGTACGCTAGCTTTGTCCTGAGCAATGTGAGTATACAACTTGTTATCAGTTTTTCAAATATCTAAACGCTAAAGCAGAACGTCTACAGTATTCTATGAGGAATGAAAAGTCTAGTGAATAACGGTGAACTTTAAGAAGTTGATACCCACTTGATCATCGAATGGATAATAGCGCACACGAATTGGACAGGAACTGCGAAAGAGCGCTGAAAAGAGCCATGTGACGTTGCCGTTTGACGTCACCATGATGTCCGTCGAAACCAACGAGGCATGATATTCCCGAATAGCACTGAAATTCTATCCAATGTCATGTTATTCCCGCAATTGTGATGTGAATAGATAAATATTCAACTAAATCTTTTCTAAACAAGACATTCAAGAAATTTTCAAAAAAGCTGTCGTAACGGTGCCCATCTGGTAATACTATTTACAATATGCCTACCCTGCTTTTGATTCTTTAGCAGCCTTTTTTGCAGCAGTTCCCGATTCAAAATTCAGGACAAAGACCTTATATGGGACTCAACTATGACTCGATCTCTTTTAAGGTGTTTTCCGAGAGGGTACTGACCCTCACCCCATTTAGGCTACTTCCACCTCAAACGCAATGGTCACGGTGGCTGGAGGGCGGAGCGGTTTTGATGACGTCATTGAGCGCTATTGGTGAACTAGACCCGTACACGCGTTGGCGATGAGATGAGGACCGCCTCCTAACTACCTTTCAGCAATGACTCAGTGAGGTCATCAAAGCCGCACCGCGCTCTGATCACCGTATCATTCCCTTTATTTCAACTTTCTAGTGACTTTCAGTCGGGGACTGCTCCATAACCTTGCAAAGAAAGAGACGAGGTGGGAATGATAGGAAGAACGTTCAAGTCCCGTCCACAGGATCAACAGACGTTAAAGCTTCCAATCACTTACGAAATCGCAGGTGGATCTGAGATCAGTGCGAGGCTGACCCAATGGCTAGGTTATTCGACGTCCTTCACAAGCCATGTAGGAGGAGAGTACGGTTCGATTCTTGACAGAACTCAAATACACTGCGCACTCCATAGTAGCTATCCACGCATCACCCTTATTCTCCAATCCTTTTTGCTTTCCGTGACCTCCCTTACAGATAACTATTGCGCAAGTTGACCATTTTCTCGTCCACGGGGCAATTTTCCCCGGGTATCCTGATTGCAGGCACTACCATCTGCCACAGTATCCCTTATTCTTGAGATTACAAGCCATTACTTTTACATGACAGCTAGAAGCGTGGCAGA